GGGGGGGGGGGGGCAAAGTGAAAAAACTACTAAAAAAGTCAAATAATAGGTTGCATTCCAGTGCTATGCAGCATTATTACTCGCTGGGGCACTGTGCCACAGAGTATACAGAGGCGGAACTCGCGGCGATTCCTTTGTTCTTGGTGTCCCCGTGCCACGTCATTTCCACGCGCCACGCAAATTGCTCTGGCAAGTGTCATTCGTCGTGTTTTCAGTCAAAAGCATAGGAAAAACGGGTTAGGATAAAACGCGGATACGGACGGACGGATGGATGGCGGACGGACGGACGGACGGACGGACGGATGAGTGGCGGACGGACGGACGGACGGACGGATGGCTTCCAAAAAACGTTTTTCAGCCTTTTTTAAGCCGTATCCGCGTTTTATCCAAAAGGGTATCCAAAAGGATAAAACGCGGATATGGTCCAAAAACCGTTTTCCCAGCATTTTTAAGCCATATCCGCGTTTTATCCAAAAGGGTACCCAAAAGGATAAAACGCGGATATGGTTCAAAAAACGTTTCCAGCCTTTTTTAAGTCATATCCGCGTTTTATCCAAAAGGATAAAACGCGGATATGGTCCAAAAACCGTTTTCCCAGCATTTTTAAGCCATATCCGCGTTTTGTTGTTTGTTTTTTAGAATTGGATCAAAAAGGTGGTTGCAGGTATTCAGATCCTGGAATGCTGTGAAATGGCCCTGCTGGACCTGTTGGAACATTCTATTGGGTGAACATCAAATGATGTGTGGAGTGAAATGAAATGAAATTTCGATTCAGTGTGACTGATAGAATTGGAATGGTTATACATAATGATGATTTTAGTGAATTATGTTATGATGATGCATGGACTGTGATGATGTTGGTGAAGCTTGATTTATAACATAGATATAAAGTGATGATACTGGTGATATATGAGTTGTAAAATGATATGAAATTTAAGTGATACATAAGTCTGAACATTCAAGCTAAAATGAGACATGAATAGTAAAACTGTGACGTGTATGACTCGATTGATTGTTTTTGTGAAGATCGCGCAGGCATAACCCGGGTGCGTTTATAATGTGAGATGTATTGTGATGATGCCAAGACCTGAGTGAATGCCAATGTATCGCCACCCAGGTCAAGTCCCATGTGTTTTGTGTTCAAAACTAAGGTTATGTTCTCATCAGGCTCCAAGCATAACCGGGAAAGCACGTTTCGACCCCGCTAGCTGGTCTTGGAACTACGTGCTCGCATATAAATATTCATTTCTGTTCCTTTGATGAATTATACATGTTTTGCGCGAAAAAATCTGTTGATTATTTCGTCTAGGAACAGTGTGAATGTTAGTTGAATTTGGTATGTGTGCTTTGTGGTGGGTGAAAATGATATGATTCTAATGCGTGATGTGTTGATTTTTGGTTTCGGAATGTGTTTTATCCAAAAGGGTATCCAAAAGGATAAAACGTGGATATGGTTCAAAAAACGTTTTTCTGAGCCTTTTTTAAGCCATATCCGCGTTTTATCCAAAAGGGTATCCAAAAGGATAAAACGCGGATATGGTTCAAAAAACGTTTTTCTGAGCCTTTTTTAAGCCATATCCGCGCGTTTTATCCAAAGAGGGCATATCGATATGTATAAAGAATATTGAATATTGTCCTAGAATTTGAACAAATAAAAACCAATAATATGTCTCTTCGCTTAAATACTTACTGCGAGATAAGAGTTCTAAAATTGCAATTTAGTGTTAATAAAGTTTTAATTCAGTGTCACTAGTTATCTGGTATGTAGTACTCCAATTTTATGCCAACGTAATGTGCTGCTTTTTAAAGGCTTTGATGTCAATGCAGTTATCGGTTTAAATATACCTACAATTCGAAGATATGACAATTGCTGTACGGCCTACTTTCTATACGTAAACGCTCTGTTATCTGGGCATGTAGTAATGTAATTTTATGCCACTGCAATGTGCTACTTTTCAAGGGCTTTTCAATGCAGTTACCGGTTTAAATATACCTAAAATTCCCGTTAAGATATGACAATTGCCGTACGGCCTACTTTTACACATGCAAACGCAAATTACAACTGCAACTTTCATGCTTAATTTTCTCTGTTATCTAGGCACGTAGTAATGTAATTTTATGCCAATGTAAGGTGCTATTTTGCTAGGGCTTTTCAGTACAGTTATCGGTTTAAATATACCTCGAATTCCCGTTAAGATATGACAATTGCTGTACGGCCTACTTTTACGCGAACGCAAATTACAACTGCAACTTTCATGCTTAATTTCTTCTGTTATCTGGGCATGTAGTAATGTAATTTTATGCCAATGCAATGTGCTATTTTTCAAGGGCTTTTCAGTGCAGTTATCGGTTTAAATATACCATACATATCCAATATTACGATACGCAACGAATGGTAAAAATGTTTTAACCATCGGTAAATACGAATACCGATTCGTCACCTGCAGTGCCAAAAGAAACATGATCTCATTATTAGGATATTCACCGACAGTATGCCGCGGTGATAGGATTCACAATCTGTCATCTGCAGTGTCAAAAGAATCGTGAAGAGATGAAGACTTAATCTTATCTTAATTGACGAGCACTGCAGGCTTACTATAACGCCTGGATATCACTTCATGAGTTTGCTTCGTTTTTAAGAAACACGCTTTTGACGCTTTATATAAACGCACTGACATTTAAAACACCAGACCGTGCATTTAAATATTATATATGTCTACATGAGTTTGCTTCGTTTTTAAGAAACATGGTTTATATATACGCATTGATATTTAAAACACCGCAGTCCATGCATTTAAATATATATGTCTTCATTAGTTTGCTTCGTTTATATAACATTTACATTTTCGTGCCATATTCACACAGCAGTCACAGCTATTAGCCTATTAACGTTTTAAAGGTGAACTGACATTTCTGAAATGTTAAAAATTAGCATAAAACAGCATATCAAATTCCAATTTACTTTTTGATAATTTTTATTCTAGCTAAAAGAATGCCTTCATGAAATTATGTACAAAAGAATGGACTAATATGAGTTTACTCATCAGGAAAAGCGTGTCGATACAAATGCAAACTCGTTGTTGTCTTTTGTTAACTTAAGGCTAATCGACATGCAATGTTTATTTCATTGCCAATTTGATTCCCAAGAGACGTCATATGGAACTTTCGTTTAATGTGAATTATTACTTTGTTTTATACCTAAGAATCAATCTTTAAGTGTAATTTTTAAAGTAAATTTGCAAGGGAATGATCCAAAATTAAAGATAAAATCACTGAAGTTAAAAAGATTCCATGTAAAGTGAAAACTGCTTTCAATTTAGTTTCAGTGATGCGGCGATTTTTGTTGTTTTTTCGCCAATTTCAAAAACTCCTCGCAACTTCAAACACTTGTATTTCTGTCAATACCGCACGGAAAATCAAATGTTATATATCAAAATCTATAAGTTTATTACTTGTGAATACAATGGTTTTTATTTTAGTGAAATAGCTTTTATAGCTTTTACGTTACATGAAATCAAAGAGGGTATAGTTTTTTTTGGGACACCCGGTATACGCACTGATATTTAAAACACCATGAGTCCGTGCATTTAAATATGATATGAGTTTGCTTCGTTTTTAAGAATCACGGTTTATATACATACGAATTGATATTTAAAACACACAAAACTCTGCCCCACTAAATATGATACATATACGCACCATGCATGATCAGTATTTAAAACACACTCAGTTGATGCAAATATATGCATAATATACTTCATCAGTGAATGAAAATGCACAATGCAAAATGTAACTATATTAAAATTTAAGTCCGACATTACATAGTAACCAGTTTATCAAAGAAGACAAAAATATATACAAGACAACCTCACATGTGGAATCTGTTTACTTACGCACAGCCTCGTGATGCAGCAGGCACGGATTTTTTTCGGGGGGGGGGAAGTGCCCCCAGAAATACTTTGCACCCCTCCCCCCCAGAGGCATTTGGCACCGCCCCTAAAAAGTTTTTGCACCCCTCAAATTATACATATTTTGATTTGATATTTTCCTATTTGGTTATTCTTATTGCTAAATTTATAAAATTACTAATATTATGGTCTCAGATGCCGCCATGCAAGCCTAGAAAAAAAGTTTTGTTAAACATTTTCCTTGACCTTTCTGGACGTTGCCACCAGGCCCCGGTCAAAGCAAGCAGCAGCACCCCCCCCCCATATTTATCCCCCCCCCCGATGTGATGCAGTGCAAGTACAAATACAAATGACA